CCAAAAATAAATAAACGTTGAAAAAAAAATTTAAAAAAATAATTAATTAATTAAAAAAATCAAAATAAATAAACTTAAAAGAAAGTGGCAAACGAAAAACTCTTAACCACATGTTAAGGGGCTCCAGCGAAAGTCTTTCTCTTTCCTTTTGCAGCCGAACCCCTCCAAAGAGTTGCCTCCACTCGCTTCTCGTCCTTTTCATTTCTTCCTCAACCAAATGCGACCTGACTTCAGACTTTGCTTTTTCCCTGCAACTTCTCTCACCACGATCGCTTGTGACTTCCCTAGGACTATGAGGGACACTCTTCAGTCCTTTTGCCTCTTGATCTGGCTGCCACATTTGACACTGTTTACAGCTCTTCTGTTTGCAACACTTTCTCCTTTGGCTTCTCTCTAGCCCCCTTTCTCCCTCACTGAGCATTCTTGCTGAGTTTCCTTTCCTCGGCTACTTTTTGTCAGCCCACCCAGCAGATATGGGTTTCTTCTGGTTCCCTTCTTGACCCATTTGTCTCTGAGTGCCACCCACACTCTTTCTGTGTGGTCTCATCCAGGCCCATGGTCTTGGCGGCCAACTCGATGCCTCCAAATCCCAGATCTAGATTTCTTAGCCTGTTCTCGAGCTCCAGTCGGATCTATCCAGCTGCCTATTAAACAGCCACACCTGCAGGCAGCTCATCACCTCCAAAATCACCTTCCTCCTTTTGTCCTTGTCTTCGAGGGTGGTGTCAGCATCTGCTTGATCGACCCTAGCTGGCAACCTGAGAAAAGCCTCTCTTCTTCACCGTCCATATCTGAATGGACACCAAAAGTCATTCTCTCTACCAACTATCTTGGGAATCTCATTCCTACATATCCACTACCACTGCACCCATAATCTACATAATCTGGACTACCGCATATGGATGTATGAGTCTTAAGTCCTGGAAGAGCTCAGAGATATTCTAACTGCATTCTCGGCTTCTAGTTTCACCATCAGCCTGTTTCTTACACCCAGTTGTCACAGTGATGTGGCACAAAGTTCATGATGCCGGTCGCTCCCTGAAATCTTTCTATTGTTTCCTAACCTGGCTTGCATAAAATCCAAAACCCTTGGTATGATCTGTGCAGCCCTCTTTTGACACTTTTCCACATGTACCTTTTAAAAAAAAAATTTTTTTTAATGTTTATTTTTGAGAGAGAGAGAGAGAGACAGAGTGCGAGAAGGGGAGGAGCAGAGAGAGAGAGGGAGACACAGAATCCGAAGCAGGCTCCAGGCTCTGAGCCGTCCGCCCAGAGCCCGACACGGGGCTCGAACCCACAAGCAGCGAGATCATGACCTGAGCCGAAGTCAGACTCAACAGACTGAGCCACCCAGGCGCCCCTTCCACATGTACCTTATGTTCAAGCAACACTGAAGTATTCTTTGTTTCTCAACGGCCTCTTTCCTTTCCATGTTTCTGTGAAGGTTTTGTCACATAGCATCTTCATATCTCCAGATCTAATATAATACCTGGTACAAAACAGATGTTCAGTAAAGGCTTTTTGAGTAAATTAAAGGACAGAAAGTTGAAAGTAAGGATACCAATGAGAAGACTACTGTAAGAGTACAATTTAGAGGTAACTAGGAAGGGGCCCTGGGTGGCTCAGTCAGTGAAGCATCTGACTCTTGACTTCAGCTCAGGTCATGATCTCACGGTTCACGAGTTCAAGTGCTGTCAGTGTGCAGAGCTGGCTTGGGATTCTGTCTCTCTCCCTCTCTCTGCCCCACCCCTGCACTCCCTCTCTCTCTTTCCCTCTCTCTCTCTCTCAAAATAAATAAATAAGCTTAAAAAATGTTTACTTATTTTAAGAGAGAGAGAATGAACGGGGAAGGGGCAAAGGGAGAAGGAGAGAGAGAATCTCAAGCAGGCTCCACACTCAGCCTGGAGCCGATAACGGGGCTCGATCCCACTACTGTGAGACCATGACCTGAGCCGAAGCCAAGAGTCAGGCTTTTATTTTATTTTATTATTATTGTTTAATGTTTATTTATTTTTGAGAGAGAGAGAGACAGAAAGAGACAGAGTATGAGCAAGGGGAGGGACAGAGAGAGAAGGAGACGCAGAATCCGAAGCAGGCTCCAGGCTCCGAGCTGTCAGCACAGAGCCTGACGCGGGGCTCGAGTTTGGGAACGGGGAGATCGTGACCTGAGCTGAAGTCGGGTACTTAACCAACCGAGCCGCCCAGGCACCCCTTAAATAAAATGTGTTTTTAAAACAAATAAGTATATGCAACTGCTGAATTCCTCTGATAAAACAAGAGTCTTTGGGCATGAATCCTAACAACTGAGAGTTCAGCGGGGAAGGGTCACTTATTCTGCAAACATTAATTGGACTGGTACAGACACTGCTTAGCACAGAGGATGCAAAGATAGGTAATACATCTGGGGCACCTGGGTGACTCAGTCGGTTGAGCATCTAACTTCGGCTCAGATCACGATCTCAAGGTTTGTAAGTTCAAGCCCCATCTTTGACTCACTGCTGTCAGTGCAGAGCCCCTCTCTCTCTGCCCCAACCCCGTTCACGCTCTCTCAAAAATACTAAAATAAAATAAAAGATAAGTAAAACACGATTCCTGTTCTCAAAGAGTTCCTGGCTCCCAAATCATCTAGTCCTTACCTTTGGCAGGGACTATAACTAATCCTTTACCTAAAGCCAGCTGTCCACACTGGGGTCAGTATTTAAAGTCCTTTTAGTCATAGACGTAGCTATACCTAATTCTTTTGGAGCTCAGAAATGGGAACTCATGGATTCAGGGCAGTAGCAAAAGGTAACCATTTCTTCCTTTAGGAAGGATGCCTGTGCAAAGGGTAATGGACTTGACCCTTTCTTCCCCACGAGACAGTAGCATCTAAAGATTCTGAACTGTCTTCTGTTCAGTGATGCTCAAGTCTTCCAATGGGCAAGTTGAAATGACTCAGCCACCGTTCTTTTTTTTTGTTTTTCAAATGTTTATTTATTTTTGAGAGAGAAAGAGACAGAGCATGATTGGGGAAGGGGCAGAGAGAGAGGGAGACACAGAATCGGAAGCAGGTTTCAGGCTCTGAGCTGTCAGCAGAGAGCCTGATGTGGGGCTCGAACTCCAGAACAGGGAGATCATGACCTGAGCCAGTCGGACGCTTAACTGACTGAGTCACCCAGGAGCCCCATCAGCCACCGTTCTTTCTTAGTTCGATGACTTTTGGGACCACTACTGCAATGTTTTCCAGTGGGGGCCTATTTGGAGAAAGGAAATTGCTGATTTGAGAGAGGGTATCTTCACTAATGCCTAAGGAAATCCCTGAGGGGAAATGTGTCTACCTGAATGAGAGAGAAGACACTTTATTTACGTTATGTCATTCAACCTTCACAATACTCTTATGAAGTTGCTATTAATATCCTTATTTTTGCAAATTAGGAAACAGGCGTAATGAGCCTGGTTGCCTGCTTCAAGATCACATGGCTACAGTTTTATTGGACCTACAGTTCAAGCCCAGATTTGTGGCATACTGGTTTGCTATGAAAAGTCTTTCCAGGGAGGAGAAAAGGGAGTAAACATCTAGAGGTCCATTCAAACCAGAGCATGAGCTTGCAGAAAGGCGCACGGTTTGGGGTTCTTGTCTTAAATGTTTCCTTTTGTTGTTTGGGAAAAAAAAAAAAAAAAAGTGAAATATGTGCATTTCCAGTAGGTTGTCAAAGACCAAGAAGTTAAAAATCCTTTCTGGAAGTACGGGGGCGGGGGGAAAGGTGCTCTCTTAAACATTGCTGGTGGGGGTATGAATTAGTACAATCTTTACTGGGGACAACATCTCTCAAATTTCCAAATATACGTACCTTTTGACTCGGTAATCCCACTTCTAGAAATTTGTACTACAGATATATTTGCACACTGGCAAAATTACAAATAGTCAAAACAAGGCGCTGTAAAATTGTTTGAAAGAGCAAAAGTTTAGAAACAACTTAAGTCCCCACTGACGGAGAACTGGTGAAGTAAATGATGCTCTATCTATTCCATGCAGCCCTGAGAATGAGGAAATGCCATCTACTAATAGGAATTATTTCCAAGATATAGATTTCCAGGCAAGATCCAGGAAGCGGGGGTGGTATTCTTTCGTTTATGAGAAAACTTCTATATGCACTTGCTTGTATAGGCACAAACCATCCCTGGAAGAATTATATGAGACACTGATAACGTTAGCTGCCCCTAAGAAGAGGTAAGCTATGACTGCAGGAGGGGAGTTCAGAACAACAGTGGAGGAAAGACTTTAATTCCTTTAAACATTTAACCATATGAATATATTAGGTATTCAAGAAAAAGAAACTGGGGGCGCCTGGGTGGCTCAGTTGGTTAAGCAACTGACTTCGGCTCAGGTCATGATCTTGCGGTTCGTGAGCTCAAGCCCTGTATCCGGCTCTGTGCCGACAGCTCAGAGCCTGGAACCTGCTTTGGATTCTCTGTCTCCCTCTCTGTCTGCCTCTCCCCTGCTCACGCTCTGTCTCTCTCTTTCTCTGTCTTAAAAAGAAACATTTAAAACCACTGAATTAAAATTAACAAATAAAGCACATGTCTTTTTAGTACATTCGTAGTTGTACAGCCATTACCATCATCCAACCCCATAATTCTTTTCATATTGTAAATCTGAGACTTTATACCTATTAAACAGAAAATCACCATTCTTCCCCACCCTACCCCTGGCAACCACCATACTTTCTGTCTCTATGATTTTGAATACTCTACGTGCCTCACATAAGTGGAATCATACAGTACTTGTCTTTTTGTGGCTGGCTTATTTCACTTAGCACGATGTCCCCATGATTCATCCATATTGTAGCATAGCACAGGTTTTCCTTCCTTTTTAAGGCTGAATAATATTCCAGCATATGAATGTACCACACATTGAATCCATTCATCAGACAACGTGAGTTGCTTCCATGTTTTAGCTATTATGAATAATGTTGCAATGAACATGGGTGCACAAATCTCTCTTTGAGACCCTGCTTTCAATCCTTTTGGGTATATACCCATAAGTGGAATTGATGGATCACACGGTAATTCTATTTTTAATTTTTTGAGGGACCCCCATGATTTCTGTGACTGTTTTCCACAGCAGCTGTACCATTTTACATTCCCACCAACAAGGGTTCCAATTTCTCTGCATCCTCACCAGCACTTATGGTCTTCTGAGTTTTTTGTTTTTGTTTTTTAGAGAGAGAACGCGTGTGAGTAAAGCCTGAAGTGGGGCTTGATCTCACCAGCATGAGATGATGACCTGAGCTAAAATCAAGAGTCCCAAGCTCGACTGACTGAGCCACCCAGGCGCCCCTATTTGTTTTTTGTTTTTTTAAATTTTTTTTTCAACGTTTATTTATTTTTGGGACAGAGAGAGACAGAGCATGAACGGGGGAGGGGCAGAGAGAGAGGGAGACACAGAATCGGAAACAGGCTCCAGGCTCTGAGCCATCAGCCCAGAGCCTGACGCGGGGCTCGAACTCACAGACCGCGAGATCGTAACCTGATTGAAGGTGGATGCTTAACCAACTGCGCCACCCAGGTGCCCCTATTTGTTTTTTTATAGTAGCCATCCTAATGGGTGTGAGGTGGCATAGTATGTCTTTTGGGGATCAGCAGTATGATTGGTGGATATAGGCGTCAGACCCCCATGACTTTGAGTGCTGCTGCTTACTAGCTGTGCGACCTTGGACATTATCCTAGGCCTCAGTTTCCCCACTTGTAAAATCAGACTTATCTCAGAGGGTTGGTGAGATGCGAATGCACCCAGGTCAAAGAAAGCACCCAACAAATGTAAGTTATTATTATTTCTGCCTTAAAAGCCCCAACAATAAACCACGTTCTGCTTTGCTCTGGCTCCTTTTGGACTAGTCTGGAGGCAAAGAGACAAACTAGATTTCTCAAGGAGTTCTTCTACCTAGATGCTTGAGTCTAGAGGACTTCTGACAATCTTCACTGGCATTCTTCCTTCCTGCTGCCCCCACCCAACCTACCGACCTCCCACCTGTGCCAAATGAAGTGTGCTCGAAGTGAGGTTTCTCAGAACCCGGCCGTTTATGTTTTCTCAGGGGTGGAGGACGGGAAGAAATCCTGTTGACATCGTTATGTAAAGCCTGTCACTCAGTCCCCTGCCTATTACCTCTGCAGACCGTTATGCATATTAAAGAAGGGGGGCGGCAAATACAAAAGAAAAATAAGCGAGAAAGAGTGAGAGAGTGAACAAATCAGGATGCATGAGGGAATCCACGTGGTCGCCAATCTGTAACTGATCAGAGCAGCTACACTGAAGCAAAACCCCCAGCTCCTACCGCCAAATATATTGCAATAGAGAAACCGTCCACAATGGGGTGTCTAATATCCTTAGCAGAGTCCTGGGGCTGCCGTTTAAGAGACTCTCCCGCTACTCCCACCCTTTTTGCACCCAGTAAACCAGGCGATGTAACAACGGAATCTGGTTCTGTGTGTGCCCTGTGAGTGTGCGCTTTGCAAACCATCTGGGCTCCATCCTGCGCGGTTGGAACGACGATCGATCCCGGACGAGTTGGGGGAGTTGGAGCTTGCCCGTGTCTCCTCCCTTTCTCTGCTCCCCTCTAGCCCCCACCCGGTCGTTCGCTCAGCACTAACGTTTCGCCGGCGGAGGGACGTAGGTTTTCAGCACCAGGAGGCCGTGGACCTTCTCTGGAGGCGTGCAGTGCACCCTCCAGAGGGCCAGAGCTGATTGCAACCTGCTCACCACGACCCTCCCCCTCCTTCCCAAATTCGCCGCCCCAGGCTGTAATATTACAAGCAGTGTGCGCTGTACCCGTGCGGGAGTCCAGGAAGGCTGCGTGACCTTCCAGCGAACTCCACCTCGGCTGGGGGGATGGAGGCTACCCCGGGGCCTGCAGGCTGTGTGTATCGATCCCCCAGCCTCGGCCAACACAAGTTCTCCCGGCACAAACCCCTCCCTCCCCTCTCCGCTTTCCCAGCCTTGGAGGCTTCTAACGCCCAGCTTGAGGCGCCCTCCCCTCTTTCCCGCAATAAAGTAAACCGGGTGGATATTCATCCCCCGCCCTCGCCCTCCTTCCTTCCCCCTCCCCCCTCAGCCTACTAACCCCGCGCAATGAGCTCGCCGCCGGCGGGCCCCTTCCACCCAGTGTATCATAATGCCCAACGCTCTTCTCCTCCCCCTCTCTTAATCAGAAACGTGCTCGCGAGCCCCCCTCCCTCTGCATGCATATATTAGGGTCTGCTTTGCATGCAGCGGCAGGCAGAGAACTGAGGAAGAAGGGGCGGGGGCGCTTTTGCCCGCCTCTTCCCTCCAGGCCCCGTTAGCCATCCAGCTTCAGCTTCGTTGTAACACCGCCTCGTTAGCGGAGCACGCCGTGGCCCCAATGCCCGGGCTGGCGAAACACGACCCAACTCTCTGCAGAAGGGCACGAGAGACAGAGGTTCCAAAGCCCCGAGTGCGAGGAGGTGGCGGGAGACCTGCCCCTTGATGTGTGCATTTTGGAGAGAGCTCCAGCATGAAAATGGGAGGGGCCCTCTCTCTCTCTCT